AGGGCCAGTGCAGAATGGCAGTACTCGAGAGCCTTGAACATGTCATTTGAATGTACTCGGTAATGACCCCCGACACGTCTATACCATCGTGCTGTTGACTGGTGAATTGGATGATTGTTTCTGTAATAGCACGAAGCTTACCTTGATCCAGTGTAGCTGCATTTTGAAAATATTTGTTGCCAATCAATATGTGGAGTTCTGTATCGAGGGTTGGAAAATGGGTTGCACCGTGTATCAGGCTGATGAGGAGGTTTCCATAAGCTGGATGATCTCGCCACGAGTCCATGTTGTCCATCAGGGGAAACATCATAGGGGGGACAGGACGGTTTGTCGCCATTGTGAAGTTATGGAGGTAAATCACACTCTGCAGCACATCCGAATCCGTGTATAGGGCATCCGACAGGAGGCTTTGCAAGTTGCCCAGGTTCAGCACAATTTGGGTTATCATACCGTCTGAGAGCTGCATGTTTTCGAAACTGTCCCAAAGCTCAAGCATTTGATGGAGGTACCTTCGGATAGGAACCTTCAATGTGTTGGGTGGTGGGTGAAACCTGGACCCATATTCGCGAACAGGAACAAGCAGCTTGAGCCGTTTATCATTGCCAACAAAGGCCAGCGAGGTGCGCATGAGTGTGGCCTTGGCCGACAAGATGTCGATGATAGGGAGCCCGCTCTGCACGAGATCAGCATCTGAGAGGCCGTCAGGCAGCATCGAGAGGATGCTCATGAGATCTTGGGCACTGTTTGTCATTCGAGAACTGGAGACAGACAGCATGATGGACACCTCCAGGCTAGATTTTTTGTCAAAACCGTCCGACAGAAGACGAGTGCCCTCCGCGTTCCACCGAGCCAAGGTGTTGCTGCAGCCTTCATATGCAACGATATTTGCGATTAGGGTGACTGCTAGCGGAAGGTTTCCGGTCACTGCGAGTAGTTCTTGCACACTGCTGTCGGGATGGTCGTCTTCTGCTATATCAATGAATGTTTGAAGAGCAGCCGAATCGGGGAGTGGCTCTAGGGCAGCCAGGAAGGGTCTGGTCCATTTGATCTTGCCTGGCCTCTCGGCACCTCTCATGGTAACCTGCTACACGTTTAGTGGCGACCTCGAGTGAAAATTGAGAAACAAATATACCAATAGTGAGAGCTGTGGAATATCTGCAAGGAGGGACAAAAATGATTCCACCTCGGCGCGAGATGCGGGGTGCTCCCATGGAGTCTCGAAGTTGTCTAAAACAAGAAGAGAGCAATTGCTGTGTGTAAAGAAATGCACAACTCCTTTCTCCTTTTTGGGCGTGTTGTATCCAATTTGGGTGGCGATACTCGCCACGAGCTCGGCGCAAGTCGCGGTGGAGTGGCAGGAAATGAAGTAGCACTGGTCACCGTATTTTTCCGTAACATCAGCATGGTGCAATACAGCGGTGGCCAGACTGGTCTTGCCCATCCCCCCAGGGCCGAGGATGACAATCCGGGCACCGTCGTCTTTGAGCATATTCACTAGGTCGCGGTATTCAGTGTCACGGCCGTGGAATATTTGGGGACGTGGTGGGAGGAGGAGTGACTGTGTGCTATGTGAGAAGAAGACAATCAGCGAGTGTATCTCATCTGTTCGGGATCATGTTACCTGCTTCCGAAGGTTGAAAATGTGCCCGCCTTAAAATTGGTCAGTCATCGGCCGGAAGTCTGCATATACTACTCACTGAGGATGTTCTGTCGGAATTTGTCAACTCCGGGTGCTCTGCGAGTAAGACTAGCAGTTCTTCATGCAGCTCTTGCGTATCCTTTTTCATTTGTTCCACCTTAGTTACTGTTGAAAGGCTGAGCTGAACCTGCAAATGCGCGACTGAGTGCCATTCCACTATGTCATATGGCACACATACCCTGAAACAATTGACTGCATGGTATAATTCCTTGGTGCATTCTTTCAATTGCGAGACAGTATCTGCCTGTTTGAAAAATTGCTTGATTTTCCCCATGCCTTGTTGAACTGTCATAAATGCATAGATTTTCTGCAGTGTTCTACGGAAATTCAATCCATGCCTTTTCCAATGTAATTTCACTTACTCTGTAAATGTTGCAATATCATGTAGAAGTCCGGGAGGAAGCTGGCCGTCCGTCGCCGATATGGTATAGAGTTGAATAATAGCACAAAGAATCTCGTGGATATTTTCGACCAGGTGAAGGCATTCATCCTTGTTGGACTTGACAGCCTGTAACGACATTAGCATTCACTTGAACGCATTAAGAAACATGTGCGTGCCTGAACTGCTTCCAAAATCACAGGGCACAGAACGCTGATCGCATTGAGCAGCGGGACGTTGGCTGATAGCGCAATTTCCTTGGTAGTGTATGCTGCAATAGTGGTATAGTTAACGAGATTCTGGAGCCGAGTGGGGGTATGCATTGGAGTCTTTGTTTTCTTACTCAGAGAGCATCCTTTTATACATTCATCATGACACTCTCGCGGGCTGTCGGACCACCATAATAGACGCACTAAATTAGCATGGAATTAGCTCAGTCAACTTTGATATCACTAATCACTCACAGGGTCGCCGCAAACGGCCGTGTCTCCCGGAACGGTTATATTGAGGCGACCAAGGTGTCGCGGAAGCAGTCATTTGTCGTCGTGAGCCGTATTACTCCGGCGGGCTAAAGTGTGGGTGACAGTGCCGTAACTGCCGCACTAAAGTTTATTTGAAGGTCCAGATAGGCCAAATATATGCCTTCGGCATTTGCCGAATTACCATGTATGGTAATTTCAACGTGATTTCCGAGGGTAAGGTCCCGCGCCCGGCGGCAAACGGAGACGGTCATGTTGTAAAAATCAACAAAGTCCCTCCCTCGTAGTGCACTGACACTCGCTCCCGCCTAATAGCATAGATGACGGAATTCAGGGGACATGTTTGGCTGCGGGTTCCTAGGGTTAGGTGTAGACCTGCAACTCGCTCCCACTCCGAGCACGGAGATCTAGAAAGAAGTTGGTTGATGAAGACGTAAAGCAGAAGTGGTATGCACTTTTTTCAGTCTCCTGTTTTTACCTGATTCATTGAGGTTCGCAGCATAATAAATAACTTCGCTATCAGATTTCGCCTGGAGACAAAGCCGTGGAGCAATGCAGCTCTCTCCCACCCATCTTTTTGTAGTGTTCTTCCGCTTCCTTCATCGCTGTCAGTATATATGAGAATGAAGTCCTCGCATTCAATCCCCCCGAGTGCAAGTGTAGATTCAATGAATCGTTAGGTGGGGGACAGCTTTTAGGGTGAGAAGGTGTTTTGAGTCCACCCGATGACGTTCGTTTCAACCAAGTCCAATTTTTTGAAGGTGAGTATCCAGAGCAAGTCATCGTGGAGTAATGCTCCTGCGCAGTGTCGGACATAAGCCTGGCAAGGATTTTCTTTTGTCCTTGGCCGACACGTTCGTCATTCATTCATCGTTGTAGGTATAAGAAATAACCCGGGTATTAGAGGTTATCGGTATAAGGAATATGTCGTCGTAGAGTACGGCAGCTCGCTCTCGCCCAGTGTTCCAGCACACCGAAGAAATATAAGGGAGAGAAGGTGGCTCGAATCCGCCCGAGAACATTCCTTTTGAGCGGTGTTTTGGCCGTCGGCCTATTTTTGCCTCCTCGTTTTCTGCTATGGGTATAAGAAAATAACTCATGTATCAGTGTTCGTAGCAAGTCCTTGTAGAGCACGGAAGCTTGCTTCCGCCCAGCGTCCAGGTACATACGCAGAATAAAGAAAAGGGAGAGGTGGTGGTTCGAATCTGTTCGAGGACGTTGTACTTCATTGTCTTTTTCAGCCGCAGGCTCGTTCCGTTCTTCTACTCGCATAGTAATCGGAGTTCATAGGTAGAATAAATGAGTCCTCGTGGAATACCAACGAATAGATCGAGTTGTGGCAGTTCGGGAGAGACGGTGGTTTGGATCCACCCGAAGACATCAGTATGGCGGAGACACACTAGCTGTCCTGCCGCTCGAGGCCAGCCAGTCCACAGTTTGCCAGCATCTTGTGCATCCGACCCCCTGGAATTTATGTGTGCTCGGTTGGCATCTGGTAGAATTCTGTAAGGATAACCACCCTCTACAGTACTACTTGTTTGTCTTCCGTAAACTCGTTGTTCAGCCTGTGGACCACGCGAGTATAATATACCCCCCCCCCACTAGCTGTGTTTCTAAAAATGATACAGGGAGAGTCTATGAGGACATGAGTGTGGGCGGAATTTTTCGCACGCACGCTCGTTCGTTGTATCTGGGCCTCGTTGGTTACATCTTTGCTCCGTTCATTGAGCTGTGTGTGTACAGGAATAAGTCCTGGTGGAGTAATGCAACTCGCCACCTAGTTCGTAGTCATTAAACCGACAGAGAATTCAGGGAGAGAAGGTCGCCCGAATCCACCCGAGGACGTTCTCGAGTCAGGCGGAAGTTTTTCAGACGCGGCGCCTTTCTTGTGCCATCCGTTGAGGTTTTCAGATCTGAGACATCAGTCGGGTATCGGAGTTTGTAGGTATGAAGGATAAGTCCTCGTGGAGTACGGCAGCTCGCTCCCACCTAATCACAGGATATATGTCATTCAGGAAGAGGCGGTGGTTCGAGTCCACCCGAGGACATAAGTGTGGGCCGAATTTTTTGCACGCACACTCATTCGTTGGTTGGATCTTTATTTCAGTCATCAGTTGAGCTTTGTGGGTATAGAAAAATATAATCCTTTTTCCGTGGCGGCCACGTTCCTGTTGTTTTCTATTTTCGTTCATCGTTACGGGTACAGAGAATAACTCACGTATCCGAGTTTGTAGGTATGGGAATAAGTCCTCGTGGAGTAATGTAACTCGCCACCCAGTTCGTGGTCGGCAAAGCCAACCCAGAATTGAGGGAGCGATGGTGGTTCGAATCCACCCGAGGACGTTCCATGTAGTCAGTCATCTTTTTAGCCGCAGGCTGGCTTTTCATTGTGTCATCCGTTGTGGATTGCTCAGGTGCCGGAGTTCGCAGGTAGCATAAATCAGTCCTCGTAGAGCACGGAAGCTCGCTCCTTCATTATATGTAAGCAATGTCAGCGCGACTTTTAGGGAGAGGTGGTGGTTCGACTCCACCTGAGGACATAGAATAGCGGGACAGAGTTTTTCGCACGGACGCTCATTCATTATATCTGCACTTCGTTGGTTGGATCTTTACTTCATTCATTAGTTGAGCGTTGATGAAGTCCGCATGGAGTATGGTCGCTCACTCCCACCTTTCAATCGGGTCCCTTTTTGAGGTCGGCGGATACAGGGAATAGCCCAGCTATCAAAGCTGGTGCGTCCAAGGAATAAGTCCCCGTAGAGTATGGCAGCTCGCTTCAACTCTGTGCGTTCGGGATAATGTAAAGGAGAGAAGGCGGTTCGAATCCGCCCGGGGACATGCACCATCCGGAATGTTTTTTCACGCAAACTCCAGCTCTCGTGCCTACTTCGGAGCAATATGCGATAGCAACTGCCTAGAGAGAAGCGATGGTCAGCACGCAGCGAGGAGCAACACAAATCGCACAGCGAGGAGCAATAGCGCAGCGCGGTCTCAGCAAAGGAGCGATGTGAATCCCGGCGATGGAGCAGAATAGCATTGACAAGGCAACGAGGGATGGGCACAACATCCGGAAATCCTCACCACGTTTGCATGGCGAGCAGCGATACCAATACGAATCGCGAGGAGCATACGAGAGATCACAGCGCGCGCAGTCCGGGACGCACCGGAGGAATCGTAAGAGCGAGCGATCCCAGCGCGTTACAATCGCGCAGTCTCAACGCTTTAAGCCCTCGCAGCGACGGAATACGACACCCGGCGTGCGCGAATTCTGCCCCGTCACAGCACTCGCAACGACGGAGCAAGTCCGGTAGACGGACGCGAAACGGCGGGAAACCCCGAGACAGGCGAGGCGAGAAAGTCTGCACGTCGACGCCCCCGTGAACAGTGCAAACGCCGAAATTGCGAAGAGCAAAGTCGGCACGCAGACTGGCGAAGGAAAAGAACGACCCGCAGACGGCCAAACGCCCGCAAAAACAGGACACGAAAAAGGCCACCCGCAGAGGACACAGAAAGCCCCCGCGCAGACGGCACAGAGGACCGCCCACCAGGAGCGTAGAAGGTGGGTGCAGATGGAACAAAAAATCCAAAGGGGACAAGCGCCGGGGGAATGCAAACGCAGGACCGCGACGCAGAAAGAGCGCCACGGACAGAGGGTGGAATACGCAGGATCGGGAAGGGATAGGGTGCGGGACAGGGTACCGCACACTCGGCAACGGAGGCGGGCGTAGATACGGAGCGACCACGCGCACGCGGAGGGAGGGGCAGGCAGGGCCGCCGCACACTCAGAGGGGCAGCGGGCGGCGCGTCAGGAGGGGTAGGTAGGGCGAGGAGACGCACGGACGCACACGGGGGCAGCGAAGATTACGAACATCGCATTCGCATTGCGACACACACGTCTTTCCTTCCCACTTTCCTCTTCTGTCTCCTTCGAACTCGCTCCACATTCGATAGTCGCACTCAGTGCGCGTGGTTCTTGTGGTGCTCTGCGGAACGTCAGTCTCCGCCGCTCTACCAAGGAAGGAAGAGGAAACGTACTCAGGTGCACCGCATTATGAGAGGGAGAGTCAGAACGGGCACAGTGGGCGATAAAGGAGTAGGACGCACGCTGATAATCCATCGTATACCCCACGAGGAACAGCCCCCCAATGAGCGCGAGCACAGGCCCCGCGCAAGAACCCGCTGAAAAAGCGCTCCTTGAGGCCGCGCACGGCGGGCACGGGCGCGGCCCTTGGGGAGCTTGGAGTAGAAGGCGACTAGGGGGCTGAGGGGGCCGGAGGCGTCGCTGGACTGTGAGTGTAATCGTGCAAGAGGTGGGCGCCGGAAGATTCCGTGATATCGACCTCTTTTCAAACTCCGCTTAAATCAGTTTTCGTCACGTTTCAGGCTTGGGCGGTGATCGTGCTCGACTTCCGATTCCCGCCTGCAAATGTGACTATATCGCAAAGATACTGTACATAACCCCCCCCATTTATGTATCTTCCGGAGCAACCTGGGCAATTTTCATAATATTCGCGGCAGTATGTGTGAAGAGATCAATTATTTTCTTCGGACCGGAGCTCCGTATTTCGTCGTCGCAAACAATGCTTCTCGAGACATTCCCGATTTCTTCTACGTGCTGGCTCGCGCTCTCTTGCTTTCAACTTCCTAGACCTTGATCTTAGCTTCCTGTATAACACCTGAACGGCCTCTCGTCTCCTCATGGCTTATCAAGGCTTCCAATTCCCGCCCAATTTCTTCGACTTGCCTGGTACGAATATCCCCTCAGAACTTTCTTCCAAGGATACCAGGTCGTCCAATACTCCCCCTGCTGCCTCAGTTTTATCATTGGGATTCTGCGGAGAGTCTGGACACGCAGCATGCAACATCTATCTCCAAATCAAGAAGAATTCGGCGACTGTTGAAAGTTGAAACCAATTGCCGGCTGGCGATGCCATTCAAGTACGCGTACGCCGAGCGTGGATCAAAAGCGACCCCATGCTGGAATGTCCCAATTGTCTGTGGTCTTTGCCCGAGCACGCTGACCGTGGGGAAAGAAAGCCGCGCACAGCCCGCGCAGTGGAGGTATGATATGGAGGAACATCTCGCACATGTGCATATGTCTCGCCGCGCAACCCCGATGGTCAGAGGCGACTGCCCCATGCGGTTTGGGGCAGTATGGAACTCTCGCTGGGGGAGGAGCTCGGGGCCAGCGTTCCACTGTCGAAAATTCCAGCACCATTTTCTCGGCTTGCGGGACCGGATGCGGGTGTTGATGCGACGCAACGGCTGGGTGTGCGGAGAGTACCCGTTAGTACAACTGCACCGGGTGTTCCCCGCCCGAGGAAGAAACAAAAGGGCAATTCGGGCGCGGCAGTGGCCAGTAGTTCACAGTGTTCGCCCGAAGGGTGAAGGTCTTCAAACCTTGAAGGCCTTCAGAAGGTCTTCTTGAAGCCCTTCAGCGACCATCGGCGGACCATCGAAGGCCTTCAAATGTCATGTGATTTCCTATTTTTTTCTCTTCTCCCTCGCGCTGCAACTCCTGTTTCAACTCACTGACATTAGAAATGGTGGACACTTTAAAAACTGTTCGGAGGAGCAGAGAAGCCTTACACTCGCAAACTGTCAGCCCAGGTGATGGAGGAGGGGACCTTGATGAAGGTGTTGGCAGAGCAGCAAAGGACAATAATCCAGACAACGGTGTGATAGAGATTGAGTCAGACGAAGTAAAGAGTATCAAGATTAATTCAACCGCAAATTTAGCTGTGTCAGTGAGCGTGGGAATTTTATTTGAAGGTCTTCGCTTACCCTTCATATGAAGGCCTTCACCCTTCTGAAGACCTTTAAGTTTTTGAAAACTCATTTGAAGGCCTTCAGGGCGAACACTGGTAGTTCAGGCTCTCGGGCGTAAAGTTATTTATTTTGTTGCGCGTAAAGTGTATTTTTAAATCAGTGATGTATTTCTTGTGTATTCTAGGTGAATGCAACTTCCAGTGAGAGCAGAGGAAGGCAGTAATGGATAGAGAAGTGAAAGCGCGAGTCAAAGTCTGGGTGCGGACATCGGTCCGCAGCCGGTCGGTCCGATCAACCGCTCGCGTGGTGGGGGGGGGTACAGCCACCATCCAGACTTGGGAGGTTGATATCACGAGGTTTCGGCCCGCCCACCTCTTGTAATCGTGAATGAGTCGCAGGGTCGTGCAAGGAAAAGGACGGGGGTTAGGATCAGGAAGTGATGCGTGACGAATGCCAATCGAATGGAATGCAGTAAAATAGCAGCTCGGGTATTAGAGTTCACAGATGGGATAGTCAAGTCGTCGTGGAGTAATGGCTCGCTCCACCTAATAACTAGTGATCACCGAAAATTAACAATTGAGGGAGAGAAGTCTACGGTGGTTCGAACTTTTCGTCCTAGGTTTCCGGATCTGAGACAGATCACTCAGATATCGGAGTCTGTAGGTATGAAGGATAAGCCATCGTGGAGCATGGATGCTCACTCCCGCCCAGTGATCTGCCAGGTCGTACGTAAGGGAGAGAAAGTGGTTCGAATCCGCCCGAGGACATGTTGGGAAATTGATTGCCTTTTTTCCCTTTTGCCGACACGTTCCTGTTTTTACCTCATTCATTCACCGTTGTGGGTATAACAAATAACTCATGTATCAGTGTTGGTAGCTGTGGGATAAGGTGGTTCGAACTTTTCGCCCGAGGTTTCCGGATCTGAGATATCACTCAGGTATCGGAGTTTGTAGGTATGAAGGATAAGTCCTCGTGGAGCATAGATGCTCGCTCCCGCCCAGTGTGGCGGCCGCAGATCAGTCAAGGAAGAGGTGATGGTTCGACTTTCGTGAAGTTGTTTTTTTTTCTTTCCTTTGGCCATGTTCCTGTTTTTGCCTCATTCATTGTTGTGGGTATAAGAAATAATTCGGGTATTAGAGGTTATGGGTATAAGGAATAAGTTCTCGTGGAGCAATGCAGCTCGCTCCAACCTAATAAATCGGGATCACAAGCACTTTGAAGGGAGAAGTGGCGGTTCGAATCCGCCCGAGGACAGGGGTTCGTGAAATGTAATTTTTTTTTCCGTGGCCAACACGTTCCTGCGTTTGCCTGATTCATTCATCGTTGTGGGCGTAAGAAATGACTCCGGATAACTCCGGTATTGGAGATTGTGGGCATAGAAGATAAGTCCTCATAGAGCATAGCAGCTCGCTCAAACCTAGTAGGTGGGGGATCGCTTTGAAGGGAGAAGTGGTGATTCGAGTCTGCCTCAGGATATGGTGTCGAAAATTTCATTTTTTCCCTTAACCGACACGTTCCTGTTTTTTTGTGTGTCATTCATTCATCGTTGTGGGTATAAGAAATAACTCATGTATTAGAGTGTGAGGTCATAGGAATCAGTCTTTGTGGAGCAATGCAGCTCGCTCCAATCTAATTCGGGTGAATGGGAATTTTATGGAGAGGAGGTGGTTCGAATCCACCTGAGGACATGGGGAAACGTTTAAGGAAATCCCTTTTTTCTTGGTTGAAACATTATTCCTTCTGCCCTAGAGGTTTGGTGATAACAAATAAAGCAAGTATCAGAGCTCCTAGGTAGCAAAATGAGTCCTCAGAGAGCATGGAAGCTCGCTCCCCATGATAAGTAAACAATGTGAGCATGACTTTTAGGGAGAGGTGGTGGTTCGACTCCACCTGAGGGGCAGGGGGTTATATTATACTCGTGGACCAAATATACGAACGACGAGTTTACCGAAGACAAACAAGTAGTAATGTACAGGTGGTTATGGCAAATTGTGAGGCTCACGGCAACAGCAGCATCAATGGCAGTGTTGATCCGGGAGGGGATTGCTGAATAGGAAAAGATCATGAGGGTTGTTGAATAGCGGCAACCCCGCGTACCCAAAGTACGGGGGTTGCTGATTAGAATTATCCATACAATCCTGGTTAGATGACAATCAACAGCTGAACTATAGATAGCCATAGCGTTCATCGATTAGCCACCCCCCGGCTATCAACCCGCTGAACGCTCCATGCTCAAAGGAAATCTGGAGTGTTCCACGGTCAACCCTCCTGGGAGAATGGGCGGATTTCATGAAGAGGCTATGTAGCGGGTCCATTGGAGCCTATGAACGTGCATGGGAGTGAGAACGAAGAGAAAGCTCTCCATGAATTTGGAGGGATCTGAGTGGCAATGCTTTTTGCGCGAATTCAACGTGGCCTTGTCTTGACATGGGCGCGACCGTGAATTTTGCTCGCGGTCAGGCAGTGTGTGGTGTTCTTTGAATATTGATCATCAGGTGGTGGTGTTCAGAATTTTATAGCTCTTTGCAGAACATAGGGCGCAGCCCTTTTTTTCTCTTTTTTTGGTAAGTTTTCACCAGAACAGGTGCCCTGGGGTCGATTCTCAATCGTTTCCTTCGGGAATATGCTCAGTCAATTTGCGCTGGGAATCCGGAGGGCCTGACATCTTGTCACGGTCGGAGAATCCGAGTAGTAGCCACCTTCGTCACTTCGTTACTTCGCGTAGGTACGCGAAACTTCGTCACTTTGATGGGAATCTGAGAAAGTTCGTCACTTTGCCTCCTTTCTGTGAAAGCTCGTCACTTCAACTCGGCACCTTCAAGACCTCGGAACACCGGCCATCAGTGTTCATTCACACAAGCCGGGGAGTGTTTTTTTATATAGATCCCTCACCCTAACCACTAACTGCTAGCCAGTAGCCTCAAACCCCTAACCTCTAACCAAAACCACCTAACCAAAACACTAACCTCACCCAAACCTAACCGCCTATCTCGGCAAACTGTTGATTTTCATCACTCCGTGATGTGCCGAGTCGGCGCTTGACAAGCCCGGAATACTAACTCACGAACTTTCATAGAAAGCCATCAAACTCACGAACTTTCACCAATTCCCATCAAAGTGACGAAATTTCCCAACGCTACGCGAAGTAACGAAGTGACGAAGATGGCGCGGACTCGGAGAATCCCACATCGGGCCTCCCAACCATCTGACTTCAAGCCATCACCAATGAACTCCCATTTGCCCTGAGATTGGCCTCTACCTTTCAGTTGAACTTTCAAGATTAAACTATTAGTTGGAAGAGGCCGCTGGTAATGAACAGCGGCCCGGGCCATCACTCATGCTGGCATCCTTCGGATCAATTACGTAGCCCTTCCTTCTCCCTCACTGTCAGTTTCGTAGCGAGTGCAAATGTGAGTACAAACTGTGCACACGACGACCGCGAATGTTCATCCTAGGGTGTTCGCTCCTGTCGCCCACAGATAAACTCTGCTTGAAGCGTCAATCTCCGTAGCAGAAACCTGAGGTGGCCTAGGGCGCTGTTTATAATGCTGGTTTGCAAACATGTTTATAAACAGGCGTTTATAAACCGGTTTTTAAATCCTTGGGCCCGAGCACCCTGTTTTTAATTCGATGTGGCAGTGCTCGGCAAGGCTAAGTTGGACGAAAAATGCTGCTAGGCATCCCTTCTGGCTAATGTCTACCCCCTAGCGACGGAGAATTCTGCCTGGTGGAGCTCTGATCGTCTTGGAATAAAGCCAGGTTGCCTGAATTTGAGCATTTGTTGCCTCACATTTTCGCTATGCAGCTGAGTCTTGCTTGAGTCTTGCACGGAGTCAGTGAATAATAGAGTTCCATAGTGGATTTCGGGTGTCACGGATTCCGAGCGCCGGGGCGCGAAGAAAACACCAAAATTCAACCAAAGATTGGCTACAAGTTGGCCTTATACTGGTTTCCTGGCTCATTTCAGTCATTGTTTATAAACACGTTTATAAACAGCCTGTTTACAAGCAATGTTTCTAAACCAGTTTTTAAATCCTCAGGAATTATAAACAGCGCCCTAAGGTGGCCGCAGTTAAGCCACAGTGGCCCGCCTGACCTGGCTTCGATGATGGTACGTTGGTGGTGGCCGCTTCGAAAGGTCCGTGATACATGCAGCTTGACGTGTTTATGGGAGGCGTGCGTGAGAGTTCGTTGGCTCTTCTTACATATAAAAGCTGGAGCTCATGAGAGTATCTGACAGTGCCTATCTTCCGACATGATTTCACAAATTTTGCTCCCGATTGCTGCGACGCTGTTCTGCTATGTGCTCTTCCATGCCGTGCAATCCATATACCGCAACTTGACTTCGCCGTTACGCCACATGATTGGGCCGAAGAATCCCAGCTTCATTCTCGGGAATTTCAAAGAGATGGCCGTAAGTCTTCCGCCTGGCCCGATTGTTATTTGTACTCATACTTGTGATTACCAGGAGGACCTCAACTTGACGCAAAAGTGGCGAAACAAGTTTGGTCGCAACTTTGAATTCAAGGGGCTATTCAGTGTGCGTTGCATTGCGTGTCCCCAAGTCCATCCCGTCTAATTCACCGACACACTGCATTCCGACCCCTCCTAACCACAGCCTGAGTTGGGAGCCCTGAACAGAGCTAAGCAGAGGGCTGTGGTTAGGGCGACTACACAGACCATGGTTACGTCTGTGTAGATCTGGCTAACTGTGGTTAGCTCTGTGTAAGTCTGCGTAGATATGCTTACCTCTGTGTAGTCTGTCTAGTGCTATAGCCAGAGGTTAGTGCACGCCATAGCCACACCTACATTTACCTACTACCTACCCTGTTGTCCTCCAAGTCATTTCTCATTCTGGAATATTTGTTGCCGCGAGGCCTTGTCCATGTTGCACCAACCCTGGCGGCAGAAGGACGCCGGCTACTATATTTATGATATTCCCAAAATAGCCTACAGTGCATCCCCATCGGTTAACGTGCGCTGCGGAATTATCGCTGAGACGAGCAGCGCTGTGGAGGACCGGGTTGAGGTATGTGTTACTGGGGCCAGCTGAGTATAGGTGGGCTAGGCTCACCTACCTTCAGCTAAGCTGACATCCGCAGACTATGTTTAGACGGCCTAGCCGCTGGCTAAGCAGAGTTAAGCCAAGCTAACCGAAGCTATGTTTAGTTCGGCTTAGTTGCCATCAACAGGGTCTGTTTAGCGGCCTAGACAGACCTAGCCGCCGGCTAAGCAGAGCTAAGCCAAGCTGCGCAAACTGTGGTTAGGGCCGGTCGGAATGCAGTGACAGATCAGCCAACTGTACACGTCCGATATCAAGGCCCTGAACCACATCATAACGAATAACTCCGTGTATCAAAGGGCGCCAAGCAACCGTGCTCTCACGAGGAGCTTACTAGGCAATGGTATGTGCAATTCCTCAGAGGTCGGCGCAGTCAGTGGGATCATCCATCCCTCAGGTATCCTTGGAACCGAAGGGGATGAACATAAACGACACGTAAGTGATCGCTCTTGTTGTTCCGAGGAGAGCTCAACTAACTATGTATCTAGCGACGAATCCTGGCAAGTCATCTGTATGAAATTTGTGTCCGCTTACCATTAAACTGGCACTTCAGAACCCGGCTTTTGGTGTGGCGCAGATCCGACTCGTCACAGAGGTTTTTGTGGAGAAAGCTGCCCAGGTGTGCACAATGAAAGTTTTGACTGTCACGACCATAGTATCCATGCGACCACGCGTAACTGTAGCTCCGCGATATCTGGGCTCGGGAGATCGCACACGAAACAGCTACCATCGAGGTTCTTTCCGGCCTCAGACGCATGACGTTGGATGTTATCGGACAGGCGGGTGTGCTACAGCCCGGTTTATCAGATGAAACCCAGTTCTCATGTGAACGGAAGGCTTCGACTATCAATTCAACGCGCTCGACTCGAAGGGGAAGCCGAACGAGCTGGATCAAGTGTTTACCCAGCTGCTACATTCTCCGCGCGCACAGCTCTATACATTGTTGATGGTGGCTCGGTCTCTCATGCCGATTCTTAAACTACTCGTATGTATCTATTATGTCTTGAGCCATCTACGGGAGTCTTATCAGTGGCATTCATGCAGCCGCTGCCAGGATCGAGGGTGGAGGCGACCGCGCACAAAAAAATGTACTCCATCGGGGCCCAGCTAGTATCGAAGAGCAAGGCCGATATAAAGATTGCTGAAGGGGACAAGACCCTGCGCGGCAAACGTGACTTGCTGTCTGTCCTCCTCAAAGCGAACTTGGCCACGAACATCCCGGAAATCCAGCGGCTGAACGAAGCTGAGGTCATCGCACGTGAGATTGATTCTCATTGCCCGACGATGTGATTCACAGCCACCGAAGAGATTCCTACGTTCTTTTTCGCTGGGCACGTAAGCGCATCGTACAAGGTCCAACTTATATTCTCATTCTAACTGGCTTTTGCTAGGAAACGACAAGGTTTTTTCTCGATTTTTTGTGTACTCTGGTGGTACTTACTTTACTCGCGGAAGCTCATCAGCCGCGTGGGCCCTGCATGCGCTTTCTCTGAATATTACCGCGCAAACCAAGCTCCGAGAGGAGCTGCTCACGATTTCAACCGAGAATCCGACCATGGACGAGCTCAACGTTCTGCCTTATCTCGACATGGTAGCCCTTTTTCTGCTCCCCTTTTAGCATAACAC